GTAAAATAAACTTCTGACAATGACGACTCTGACAAGTTACACCAAATCCAAAGTCCCCTTGCGATCCAGAAGCCAGCACAGGTACAGGCTCTGCTGCGCACTCCGACTGAAGACTGCCGCAGTGGACACAATCGCGTGAGGCAACTTCGCCAAAGCAATGGAATCGTCGCGCATTAAAAAAAACACTGCCTGTCAATGTCTAGCAGTGATATGTCAGTGTCATGGTGTCATGACAATGACAATGATTTGACAATGTGTTTTTTCAATGATGATGTTGCATCTGCTTGGATGTCAGGCGTGTCTTGAGCCCGACTGCCAAACAATACCCGGGCTGAAGTCACGAGAACAATGACCAACTAAAGGGCTGGCGTGCTGAGCAACAAACCATCAGATCAGCAGGTTGCGGGACACGGCACCAAACACCTGAGAGCAGGCGCAAGAGTGACAGAATTCAACATAAGAAGAACTTAGTTAGTAGACAGTGAATAATAAAAGAACATGTTGCGAAAGACAAACTCATCTAACATCAAGTGAAATTCCAGCCTTGGTGTGAAATCACAGGTCTAAAGTTTAAGTACAATTTGAGTGACTGTGCCCAATGTTCAATCAGGCCAGGCCTGAGTCGTCGTCGATGGCAAAAATGACAAGGACAAAAATGCCAAGGACAATGATGCAACCTGGCAACACCCATGTATTTCACATGATCATGCTGTCTTTCACTTGGCCCGTCCTCTTTGGCGAATCCTCCTTGGCCCTGGCATCCAACATCTGCACATCCTCACCTTGGTAATTGAACTATGGCATCAAGCAAGACAGTCACAAACTGAAACAAACAGACAATGCCAACGAGTACTCATCAATGACAATGACAAAGGCAATTGAACTTCATCAAGGCAATCCACTAATGGCGGTGAGCATCCAGCCATTTTTTGATTTCATAGTCTTGATAACCTCGGCCGACACAAGCTTGTTCCTGAGGTTTGAAGCAACCAGACTTGCAAATTCATGAAATATTCAATTCGCATTAGCGATCCTGTGAGCAAATTGGAAAGTATCAAGATTCGAACAGCTCTCAGTGGGCACCTGCCATACAGCTGGAAGAAGAGGTGCTGGATGTTGTCCGCAATGTTGTGATCCTTGAGGATTTCCAGCCTTGGGGAATCAAATGAGCTGCAACTGTAAAGTTGAATCATGACTGTGACTGCTGGATGACTTTGTCACAACACAGCTTGTCATTGAAACCCAGAGGCAAAACAGGATCACGCTCCTCTGCCTGACAATGATCCTCCTCCCGATCCTCCTCCTCCACATCCTCCATGACCTCTTGCGGCTTTGCGGGGGGGGGCGGCCACATCACCAGTTGGATCCTTGTCGCAACATAAACACGCAATCATCAAAACCACCCCGCCATTATTCCAGTGAACGGTGTTAGCAATCAATTTGTGATGGTTTGAAACCAGCATAGCCATGGTTCAAAGAAAGCATCTCTGATTTACCACAGACCTCCAAGAGCCTGTCCAAGGTATTTTGAGCCAGGTCCAACATGGAGCCAGCAGGCTTCTTAGTCCACCATTGATGAATGGTATTATGCACTTCATGCAATTGAAAGACACCATATACGGTTCACAAAGGTACCCATTGTTTGTTCCATTGATGATGAAGAACAAACACAAACAGGCCTGCTGGACACTGAGAAGGCAGCTGATGCACTGTAGCTCTGCACCTGGCGCACACGAGCTTCATGGGTAAACATGACACCTTGGTAAACATGACACCTTAAACAGCACGAATAGTTATTATTCATAAGTGATTTGAAAAATGCAATCCTCACCTGATCCTGCCTGGATGCTGATGGGTGTCCTGCAGCAAATAATAAATCAGTGACAATGATTTGGTGTTGATTTGAGACGGATCAGTGTCACATTGATCAAACCACACTAAACTTGCACATCATCACGACTAAACTAATTGGCATGACAATGATGAACATACTTGTTTTTCACCAAGAGGAGCACGAGCTTCACTTGTTTGGTGCCCGCCTTTTTGGGTACCTAACATCTACATTGCCCGCTGGCCTCTTCTTCACTTTAGGCTCATCTTCACTCCGCAACTCGCCCATGTCATATGTTGAGGATTGGGAAGTCTGTGATGCTGCCTGATGATCACCCACACCATCATCTCCCTGCTTGATCACCTGGATGCGCATCTTGTGGGTCAAGGCAACATAGGTCACCTGATGAGTCATGACTTCAGTGGGTGACACTGAAGTGTGAATTGTCCTGAAATGAGAATGACACCTGAAATGCTAACAAGGCCACAGTCAAATCTGCCACAGTCCCCGCCAAATTCTGAGACTTATCCATGATAGTGACAGTGAGTTACAATGGTTTGAGCTGACTGTGGCTGCAGAGTGACAAGTGACAATGAAGCTCAATCCCTGCCCAGTGCCAATCAGTCAGTCCTCCAGCCATCAAATCATCCTGGGCAGGCAGTGTGAATCATCAATTATGGGACTCCTACCACTCCGAAGTTCTAAGTTTCCAGCAGCCGGAAACAATGGAAGAACAGTTTTGAACCCAAAGGTGGCAACGATTGTGAAACTGACAGCTGACAATGATGTGAGTCGAAGACAATGATGTAATTAAACCACTGGAGCTCCCAAACTTTTCACTTTAAGTTGTAAACAATTTTAAACTCACCAGTTTCAAATTTCACAAAAAACATATACACAAAAGCAACTTTTGCAACTTGCAAACAGCCACCCAGACCAAGTCACCAGTTCTCATCTTCCAGCTCGCCAGATACTCCGCGTACTAAAGTTGTACTACAAAGTCACCAGTGCTCGCCTGCATTTCGCGCGCTCAACACGCGCGATCTCCGCAGAGGGTTGCGCGGGCACCGGACAAATCGCACTCTCGCCTGCATTTCGCGCACTCGACACGCGCGATCTCCGCAGAGGGTGGTGCGGGCACCGGACAAATCGCACTCTCGCCTGCGTTTCGCGCACTCGACACGCACGATCTCCGCATAGGGTTGCGCGCGCGTGGGACAAATCGCACTCTCACCTGCATTTCGCGCACTCGACACGCACGATCTCCGCAGAGGGTTGCGCGGGCATGGGACAAATCGCACTCTCGCCTGCATTTCGCACACTCGACACGCACGATCTCCGCAGAGAGTTGCGCGTCAAGTCTCCAAAACGAGCGTTTCATACGAGACTTCCTCAAAAACTCACAAGTCAAAGAGTGCAACACGAGCGTTTCGTACGAGACTTCCTCCAAAAGTCAAGCGGAAACACCCATCGGAGCACACACATCACGCAGCCCTGCCAAGCAGTTTCGCGATTCCAGCCCCTCCAAACAACATCCGCTCACACGCCAATCCCAATGTGACAGCGACATTCACCTCTACCACAACTCACAACCTCACGACTCCCTGCGCCTGCCACGAATCTTTCCAAGTCCACACGTCTAACGCGCGCAAAGTACTGCGCCTGCCACGAAAAGTGACAATATCATCTCATGTGAGCTTCAACAAAATTTGCACCACACCACACGTTTGGAATGCTTTCGACCCGTTCTGAGCACACTCCCATCCACCAAAATCGCCATTTCAGCTGAGACTTGTCACGAAAACCGAGCTTCGATGCCACACCCTGAAACGCAAATCCCAATGGCACGGCCACATCCAACACCCCAAAAACACGACGCTCCAAATGCTGATCCCAATGGAACTGCGCAGCAATCTGCGGATCTCACAAAACGCTGCGCCTGTGCAGCGAAATGCATCACGTTTCTTGCGCGACATGTCGGTGTCATGCAAATCACAATGAAATAGCGGCGCAAACTGACACGTGACACATCCATGAAAAGTCACTTGCAAAAGCTTCCCCCAATGGCAGCAAATTTGAGACGCGACGACGACGACAAACGACGAGAGACGACGAGAGACGACGAGAGACGACGACAGACGACGAGAGACGACGAGAGACGACGACACGACGCAAGCCATGCAAACACAGCTCCAACCCCCAGACCCCCAACTATAAACGGGAACCCTTCGCTACGCATTCGGGAAAAACACACGTCAATGTGGGGAACTTGTTTGATCTTGTTTGTCCATCTGCGGCACCTAGTCCACCACTGTTTCTGCGTGTGGGGAGTTCCATCCTGAACCTCATTGCGGATCAGAAATCTGTCTGTGCATGCAACAGTTGAGCCAAACAAAGTTCTACAACATGTTCTCCAGTAGGCAACTCAATGTCCTGTGCTCTTTAGACCTACAAAGCTTGTAATCTTTACTATTGTGTCATTCAATGTGTATCCAAACATGTGGCAAGCATCTTCTTCGCCTCTTGTCATTTCGATTGGAAGATTCACCCCAGTCTAGCCGCCAGGCCTATAGATAGGGGACCGATAGGGCCTCTTGGGCAGGGGAGGCAGTGGCTCTGCCTTACTTGGTGGGACCACTGCGCGGGAATCAACTGGATATAAACAAGTCCCAAACACCGCTGTCTTTTTCATGGTGTTCTTGCGCTTCCTCGTTATGGTCTTTGCTGGCAAGCTGGGGTTCGATTCCCCTGTACGACTTGGGGTGTGGCTCGAGGTTCAATTCCCCGGAAGATCTTAGCCCGGCAGTGCTGGGACAGTGTGTTCTTTGACACTTCTGCTGCGTGTCAGGCGTCCTCACCAGAATTCAAATGCCTAATCGTTTGATTTAGCTTTGTTGTTTGTGAACTCTTGTCAGCCCGGCTTCGGTCGGGCTTCACTTTCTTTGCCGGCGACTCCTCGAATTGCCCTTCATTTATGCCAGCCTTTCCATCGAATGCCTTCGCCCTGATTGGGCCTTTGTATTTACCAGTCTTTACATCGAGCTTGCTCTGCTTTGGCCTACTTGGATGTTTAAGCATAGTCTCGCCCGGCAGGTTGCAGTCTACATCTATATACATCTACTACCCTCTAAATCTGGTGCATTTTGGGGCTTGCTTAGCCTGGTCCTCCCTACTTTGACTGAGGCGGTGTCGTAGAGCTTTTGATCTGAGCTGAGTTCACAGCCATCCATGACTCGTGACCAGCTCTCTGCAAATAGTGGATCAAATCGACCCGGTCCTGCCGTGCTCCAAACGAAACATGAGGAGTAAAATGCTCACTGCTATTGCTCCGATGGGAAGGCACGGTCAAGTGGTACAGTACACGTGTGGCTTGTTGCTTCAGCACACATTGACATGTTATTGACGCACAAAGGTACGATGTTGCTTCCAAACGGCCAAATCCTCAAATGGACATAGAACTGCAATTGGAAAGTGTGCAAATGTGACCGGTATTTCGAGACTTTCGAGAGGGAGGAAAACTTGGTCTTGACTCCTGCCAGCTGTCGATGCCACGGAAGTTCATATTGATGACACCGCCCGCGAAGGCCTTGGGATTCTTCAGGAAGGCCATCATATTCCTGGCAATGGCATTGCCCGTTCAAGTTGCAGGAATGGCAGGACCGGGTGGCAGTTTTCAAACATGATTTAACAAGAGACTAGTCATCAGACTCAAGGCTATGCCAGCCATTACATCACCTCTCTCCAGATCAGCTAGCCACCTCTCTGTCCAAAGGATTCCGCTGGACTCAAGCTTGGTAGAATATTTGGCCCAACCTCGGAAGCTGATGAATTGAACTAAACTGATCAAATGCCTTGATCTCTGGAATGGGCAGTTGGCCCTTTTCAAGTGCATCTTTCCCAGCCTGAGCGTTGGTTCATGGCCGCAGTACGGCCCATGACACCGTACAAGTTTGGGCCTGCTAGGGTACCTGGGGAAAAGTAAACACGTTGAGTGCCCAGCGGTTGCGATGAAATAAACACATTTGCATCTTACAACATGATCAGGTGCCAAGTTCACACCGCGAGCCAAAGTGAGACACCTGAATGTGTAGAAGCTGGCCCGGGCTAAGACTTTGACCATATGGATTTGTTCCGTCTCTCCGGATTGTGTGGCACCTCTGCTGGAAAGACTTGACCATTTTCCCATTGCGAGTCTGACAAATCTTGTCTTTGAGTGATCTTCTGTAATGGGCGACTTGCTTTTTTTCGTTTTTTTTTTGTTTTTTCCAACGCGTTTTGGGACTTCCTTCCTTCCTTCCTTCCTTCCTTCCTTCCTTCTTCGGCAACAGAACCTGGAAAAAACCCAAAACCCGTTGGAAAAAACATCCCCCCAAAAAGGGGTTCCTTCTGTCATTCTGATGAGAAATCCAACGGATGCTCTGAGGCTCCTGCTGCGCGCAGTGTTTCCTCGGCAACTCAGATCTGTGTCTCGTCTGTCTAGTGACTAGTGATTCCACGTTGTGCTTGTCAAGTCCTTTTCTGAGTAAAGTGCAAACCTACTTCTTAATACCATCCAAGCTTCTTGAATAGCAGCTGGCCACGCACCACATTTCCTGCGGCAGCAAAGGAGTCTATATATTCCACTAATCTGGTCCTAGGCAAGGATATGCAAGGATCAACCGGCCACATGATACTGTAATAATATATATATAGCTTGATGCGCGATGCAACTGTCGAAAAAAAGAAACGCATCAAATACTGTTGGACATTGAGAGAGTCATGATCAACAAGGCAAAACAGTCACTTTGTTTACTTGATACCGCTGTTCATCCCATCACGATCTGTATGTGCGTCCTTCTGGCAAAACAAAGTCGTCGCTGACATCAATGTCGTCAAACGGCTTTGCCCTCAGTGACCGGACTAAGCAACTGCCCATCACATCGGATGAAAGGGCAAGCATGCTCATATGATTATGTGTTTCATTTCTCCTGCTGTCCAAAGCTATGTCTGAAATAAAAGGGCAACTGACAGCACTGTTGTGCAAGACCCCACACGATGAGTGTGGTGAATTACAATGGCCCAGTAGTGTATTACAATACTATATTATTCTTAATAGTTCTCCTGTTTTCACAGCCGTGTGAGTTACTGCATGTTTTGACCAAAGGAGTTTGCCCATATGTGCCATGACAAATCTTCGATGTCCACCCTTTTTTGGGCTCCAACGGTCACCATTTGGGCCATCTTCCTTTAAGTCTTTGATGGATACTGCACCCATGGCCCATCTCTTCGTGCAAACTTTTCTTGTCTGGTGATGGATTGTCCACCTCTGTGTCGTTTTGCTCCCATCAAGTCGTTACTATGTCTGCCCTGTGGCCTCTCTCTTTTCTCTCAGTTGCTACGAATGTAGCCGAAATAGCGCTGTTTGTGCAAGTAACAACACAAGTAACTGAGCAAAATAATCGAGGCACCGCTCATGTGCCTTGCCTCTGCTTATCTGCTACTACGATGCGTCACTGCATTCTAATGCAACAAGCTGTGCAGGGTAGCCAGAATCACACCAGCATTGACACCAAACAGTGAATCTCCGAATCGTAACTCCCGTTGCGCCACGTTCGCTCTCTCGCATGTCCTTGCTACAGAAATACTGGGGGGACAAGATCGGGCAGTGAAGAAAACCCTTGAGCAACAGTCTTCACGGGAAGAAACATTAAAGAACACCCAGTTTACTATGACTCGAAACATTCAGAAGGCAAAGAGAATACCAGGAAAAAAGGCAAGAGGAAAGGAATGTCAAATCACTTCGAAATAAATACAACAAAGAGAAACGGATTGAAACTGTCAAATAACAGCATCTCCTCAAAAGCCAGCAGGGATCACAAACGGAGATGGGTTGAACCCAGCGCCGGACCTCTAAAGAAGCTTTATGTTTCTGGCATCTCCTGTCATCGGCCAGCGGAGCAATCTTTGCTGTTTTTGGGCGTTGAAGAAGCGCGAGCTATCCTGCGTCCTACCTAGTTTCTAACTAGCTTACCTCTTCTAGCGGCTAACCCCCCCGCCTAAATATATATATATAATATATGTATATATTATTCTTCATGCACGTGTTCCTTCTCGTGTCTCAAATCGCCCGTAGATCACAGTTTCAGATGTTTCTGGTCACTCTATAGTTCTTGGCATCGCATGGTGGGAGCTTCCGGCCCCGAAGGTTCAGTTTTGAGCCCGCCAGGTGCCCTGGGTGTTTGCCTTGTCCAATAAAGTTATTGGTCCTTTATCAGCCTGGGTCCTTCTTTTGTTGTTCTTGAAGGTATTGAAGTTTTGGACACATGCTAAACCTAACCAACCTTTTCCTAGGAGCGGTCTTTTGCATCTCTTTGCATTGCAAGAACACCAAGGATGCGGAAAACTGTCTTCACACCCAAGTACACCTTGCTGAATCTTGCTTGAGTAGTGAAGGTCGAGTTGCTCTATGTTCCAGTTGCTGCGAACAACGCGCTGGGACAAAACGCAAGGGCATACCCCGCTTTAATGTACTTGCATGCCAACAGGATCGTGTGGCAAAGTGGCATAGTGGAAGGAAAAGGGCAGCAGCTGTTGATTGATTGGACGTCTGATGATGTGGGCATCAACTATAAAGCGAGGCGTAAAAGAATCACACATTACACGCTCAGGTAATCGTTGTCAACAGCAGGCGCACTAAGCGACTAAGTCAAACCATCGCATCCAGATAAAACATTAGAAACAAGTGCATCGCTACTAGTAACAAGTGCCTTACTAGTAGTAACAATAAGCTATTAGAAACAAGTGCATCCTCAAACTGCCCATACCCCAGGGCACCACACGCTGGCATTCCCTCTCAGCAGACCATGGCTCAAGTCGAATTAAGATTGGTCAACTCTGAAAGCTTGGACCCGTACTGAAGTACAGTGATTGTATTTGAATACATTGAGAGTGGGTATTGTAGGTTTGGCTGAGGTGTCTGAAGGTGCTCTTTTGATCGAGAGTCAGCTGGAGCTTGTGTCTGCTCTGCTTGCGTGTTGTGCTCTCTCCCTCTCTCTCCCTCCCTCTCTTTCTGTCCCCCTGACTCTTCTGCGGCATCTTGCCCGCTATACTCCATGTACATTTGCATCCTTATCATCCTTGACTGCAGCAGGCATCCATTCAATACATCAACCCACAGAGTCAGTTCACATATCGTTTCTTTTTTTGCCAAGAATGCTTCGGGCACCGGGCACCCAAGTTTGTCGGACCAGCAAATTGAATTTGAACCCACCAACTGGCACAGCAATCCGAACAGGAGACACGTGCACAACATTGCCAAGAACAATACTTGAAGGGACCAGGTGGCCATCCCCAGAATCAGTTCCAGCTTCATTTTTGGTATGCTTCGCACTTCGAGAGGATGCACAAGGCTTCAACCTCGCAGGCGTCCAATGGAAAAAATTGCAGTTTGTCAAGAACACTAAAGTAGCCTGATACATTGCCTTCGTTTGCATCTAACTCAACCAGGCTGGGCAATAATACTAGCCAGCCTGCCTCAAATTAGGTCATGAAGGGCATTGTGATATGCCAACAAGCTAGAACATTCTATAGGGATCAATAGGGCAAGGACTTCTAAGTTGCTCAAACAATAACAGGAGCTTAGAACTTAGAACATCTCATCTTATAACCCTAGAACTTAGAACTAAACAAATACCCTTACTGCTTGGGGTGTCATCTTGCGCTCACAGGCCATGCCCAGTTCCCGGTCCCGTCGAGGTGCATCTCTCTCTCTCTCTCCGAAGCTTCAAGCGAATATGGCGCGATTCGCCACTGTGTCCTTGGTAGGATCTGAGTTTGGAATTTGCAATAAGACGAAGGAAGGGTTTGATTGCTCAGACTTTCTCACTTGAAGGTCTGTTTCTTTCAATGGCTTTCTCTCTGGGTGAGCTCAAGCACCATGTCTGTAGCTGAGCGGCGCAATTTATTTGCTACTAACCTCAATTACATAGTCCATGTCTTGCGCTGGGGCCCTATCTTGTTTAAATTACTTCAGTACCACAAGCAGGTCTTCTTTCGTCCTGCTTGCATGTTTGTCACAATATGTCAAGCAATAGACTTTACCTTCCCTGCAACAATCATGGACGTGGATGGCACGACCCCTGGGACGACCATTTTCCTCCACACACTGGGGGTCGATTGTTGCAGGGAGGGTAACGGAAATGATGAATGAAGGTACCTCGCTTTTTGAGGCCCTTGGGTGTCGTTCCCAAGCCAACTTAATGTGTTGATGCTGAACAACCAAAAAGGACAACCTCACCTTTTGTTTAGCATTTTCACAAATAAATGCAGTTGCGCAGCAGGACATGCTGTTGTGCACACGCTGTCATTGCATGGGATACAATCTGATTGCCCGAAGGACTGAACCGCGATCAATAAGCCGAAGGATTTGAAGGAGCCACTTCGATTGCTTGGTTGGATGGACTTGGATGGAGTTCGCCCTTTTGATGGGGATCGAATTCCTGACTGACAGACCAGGAATAAGCTTTCAGCCATGGTAAACATCGAGATTTAGATCATGGTCCTCACTTTCAAGCCTTACATATATAGGAATTTCGCAACGGTTCAAGTGTGGCATTGCGTGCCTAACCTTCTCTGTTCTTGTCACCCGTTGCCTTCCGTGAGTTCCCCTTTGGCCTCTTTGATCTTGCAGACCTGCCTCTACCAGCACAGTCCGGGAGGACTCACTTTTCATTGCCGGCGCCATGGGTTGTGAACTTGGGAGGTAGCATTGTGGATTCCTGGATACTTGGTTGTGGCCCAAAACCCGAACACTAGTTGACCCCACATCACCAAAAGCCTCTATATACCAGAAAGGTCAACCTACCATGGTCTGGGGTTGGGTCTTGACCCACACCTACTTAGGCCCGTCAATGACAGAAGCCTCGCACCAGAGCTTGAAGTTGGAGAGTTGGATCGCAGGAGGTTCATCTTAGAGGAGCTCATAGTAGCGTCCTTGCTCCTAGTAGCGACGCCAGGAGCCCCTAGTAGCGTCCTTGTTCCAGATAAATGTCAAGGGCATCATCAAATAGTTTTTGCAATACCAAAAGATCGTGGCGAATAGAAAAGTAACATCTGTCGAAAAGCCAGCTGCTTGTCAAACAGAGTTCCCAGCCAAGCTTCGATGCTAACTTGTCTGCCCAACAAGAAACCAAGCCCCAAGAACAGCACCGTTGGGGGCTTCTTTTTTGCCTGAATCGTGCAGCTGATCACTGTTACGCAAGATTACAATGTGCCGACACGCGCAATGGACGTCAGCTAGCTCTCTGTCTCTGAAGAACCCAAGAGCAACAAAAAGCTCCTGACAACCGTGACGCAGCATTCCCCAAGTTCACGCCTTTGCACCTTCTGGAGCCTTTGCCCATCCCATACCTGCAAGGCCACCCTCATTTAAGAAACACCAGGCTTGAACGGTCACAAACAAAGTGATGTGGCATTAGCAGTCGACTTTGTAACACATCATGTAATTATACTGTCTAGTGACTTAGGACTTACGGGTCTAGTGACATATTCGGCTGGGACAGCCAACTGCTGACTCATGTGCCTGGTCAAAAGGCGTGCTTACATGCGCTTACCCCCCCCTCAGGGAGCAATCAGAAAATAACATAGAAACATACAACTGTTGAAATCAATGTGTGAGAGACAAATCACATGCATCATGACATGGGCAGTTGGTCCCTTTTTCAGCAACCCTGGCTGGATTATCGTGGCTGGAAATGGCTGGAATTATCTTATGACACAGGGGTTTTAAGCAAAGGTTTCCAGCAAAAGTCCTTAGTAATTTTCCTAAATCCTTGTTTCTCATTATTTTTAGGTTTTTGTTCAAACATGCTCTGGAAGTCCTGTTTTGCAATATTCTCCCTGATGACTTAGGCCAGCCATGCTTTCTACCAGATATATATACCTTGCCTGATGACTTGGAACGCTGTAATTTTGAGGTAGCGCCGTTAACTCCTTAGTCCTTAGCATTAGCCTCCAGTATATATGTGTATATATATAGATACACACATGAATTGAAACAACATCTGTCCGGAAACTAGCTTGAATCTGCCCCACGCATGGTTCAAGGTCATTGGATCGTTGCGTACTCTTCAAACGAGTTCAAATGAAGGCTCTTGATGATCTTCACTAATGAACTGATGAATCTATGCAATCTTGAACCAAGAAACAAACGAAGCCTCCGTCTGTTTCGCTTGTAGACAACACAGCACCCGAAAACTAAATCACAACATATGTTTGCAGGTCAGTTGTGAGAATGTATGAACGTGAGTCATGAGGGTTTTTGAAAATCTGACATTGCTGAAGGCTTCTCTGCTTCTACCAATCCATCAGTTGCAAAACCATTGATTCAATGACAAACAGAAATAGGACATTCACAGGAATGACGTGCATTTTCACCTGGAGTTTGTCTTCTTGTCACGATTTGACAACACAGCCGGAGTTTGCCTCTAGTAGCTCTAGTAGAATCGCTTGCCTTGTTGACCTTCATCCATTGAGCTTCCCAAAGGCGAAGACAACAATTCTGCATCACAACCAGCAGATAATTCCTCAGCACCACTATAATTATGTTGGTCTGTCAGGAAAGCAACATCTTTGGATGCCACAGCCGTTTCAGGTCTAAAACGATTAGGCAGAGTCAGATATGCACCCTTCCTAGTTGCAGCAATCTTCCCAAAAGGTGTCCACAAATCTACGTATTCTCCGAGCATCCACGGTGGGGTAAACCATGCGAGCTGTGCTCAGGGTCCGTTGAGATGAAATGGCCTCACACAAGCGTACAAGTACTGTCAGCACCTGCCCTGGAAAGGAGTTGAAGATCAACGGCAAGAAGCAAACTCCTTTCCATTTCCAGGCAGCCTTTTTGCTGTTCAATTGAGGCTAGAAATGGAGTTGGAAAGAAACAATGCGTCTGGGAAAGTCTTTGACAGGAGTGCCTCTCAAGTGAGTCAAGCAACTCAAGAAGAAATCTACACAATGATCTTAGGACATCAAGGCAAAAACACTTGTGGTTTCGCGCTGGCAGCCTGGCCTCTTTGCCATTCACTCGCCAGGACACCTCGCCGGAACCATCATCTGCCAAGCGGCATTCGACCAGATCCTCAGAGCGCCACAAACAAATGCACAAAAAAAGTTACAAACGCTACCCATATTTTGCCTGTGCATATACTTTTTTTTTGCACGCCTTTTGGGACTGCATGAGGTTATGTGAACATCTGTCGCAGATCTCTCTGGCGCATGTAAACGCAGCGGGCCTTTAGCCTGCTGGTCAGTACCGGAATGCCTTCCGATAGCCGAGTGCGTGCGTGGCACCGCGAGCACTCCAAGGTGTGGCCTGTACGCACCATGGTGTGCGATCCATGGCCTTCCCAAAGGCTGGCCTCCAGTGGTCCATGGTAGCATGGTTCACCCACAAACCGGCTGAAAGCTTCCTCGTTTGTCCTGGCTAAGATGTAGCACCGACAGACTGAGCACCGCAAGTAGGCACGGTCCAACTGCAAGTGATGGACTCCTTGCTGTGGGCCTTGCTGGGCAGCTATAAGGGCATGGATCATCTCCATCCTTGTCTGCTTCGGTGGACTAGGGCGAACTTCTTGTTGACATGGTTTGTCTGAGGCTTCCTTCAACTCGCTCAGGAGACTCTTGCTGTGATAGCGCAAACGGCACACGCGGCATTGGATGCCACTTCTGAAGACTTCCCATTGATGGCCCATGTGAGAGGTCTTGTGCAAAAGATCTTGCAGGATCTCCTTCTTTTGCTGGACAAGCGGGATCTTTTGTTGAATGTCGGCTTCCTTCCGGTGTAGGAAATGCTCTTTGCACCGGAGCAGAATGCTCATTCTCTCACCGGCACTGAGAAGGATGGAATGGGCATCATCATCGATGTGTGATTGCAAGTCGAGGATCTCCTTCGGTTCAAAGAGCTTGCCCGTGCTCTCAGCCACCTTCTGGGTGTCTTTCTGAGTGACTCGTCTCATATCATTCTGCTCCAGTTCAGCTCGGGAGAAAAGGAGAGGCCAGACATGATCGAAATCTTCAAATTCAAGACCCGTGAAAAGATCCGGAAAAGTTTCAAAGGCAACATGCGGCTTCCAATTCTTCCAAGCGGCTGCATCATAGAGTGCCACTGGAGTCTTCTCCAAGACATGCAGAGCAAGCTGCTTCATGGCATAGAAAATGGCTCTCTGTTTGGTGGCGGGACCAGGACAAATGCCAGTGATGGAGCCGACTTGCTGCTTGTTGGTGGTCAGGTGCACACAGATTGCGAAAGCAAAACGCTTGTGCCTTTTGTCACCACAAGTGGGTGCAACAGCGATGGAGCATATGTGCCCCTTCTGCAGCCTGAGGTGGCCCAGATCTTGCCAGACCCCCGTGCCTTCCAAGGTGGAAGAACCTTCTTCCGGCTCATAGAAAATGCGTTGAACCAAGCCTCTCTGCCATAGCTCGGGATCTGTGCCGACCTCCAAACGATTGGTCCATTCCTTGGAAAGTGGCTTTACCCTTCCTTGCCAAAAGGAGCACTGCCACAGAAGGTGGGTGAAGGTCAGCTCAACTCCGCACAAAGGACAATGTCCGGTGAGGCCATGCAAAGTGCCCTGGTGAAAAGCTCGAAGCCCTGTGGCTATGTTCTCGCTGGTGGTTCTCTGGATGTGCTGACTGATCATCCAATCCAACGGCCTTTCTAGGTCATGGCACCCATCGTACCTGGTCAAACGAAGGAGGCGCTGCCAACGAAATTCTTGAGTGAGCTTGTGGTGCAAAAGTGGCCACGGATCAGTCAAGCTGAGCACACAGTCCGGGATGCCCCCATATCCTGTTCGCTTCCATTTCTGACCATCAGAGATGTCGAAGTCGAGATCCATCATGTAGGCTTGAAGGGCCTGCAAAGGTCCAGAGACAACCTGCCACTTGTACTTGGCTTTGTGCAGGGCCCCCAGGGCGGTGTTCCAGCTTGTCCAGAACAAGTGTTGCTTGCTCTCTGGAAAGCCATGGTAAACCTTCCATATGGTGTGCAAATGCTGGAGGATGATTGAATCTCCAGGATCAGGCTGAGAGGGATGCATGTCAAAGACAATGTCCACCGACCCAGAGCGTTGAAGCCTGAGGCCCCTGGCGGCCAGTACTCGCAACTGATGCCTCCTTTGTGGAGCCAAACCGTTGGCCTGAGCCCCCCAAGACATAACCGCACCGCTCCCTTGTGTAGCCGGTAGCGAATGCCCTGGGCTATACGCAGTCGATGCATGATGCCCACTCTGCCTTTGCCTTTGAGGAACCGCTTGCGGATCTGAGGCACCCGTCGACGCCGACCAGCCGTGGAATCCACCCCCAAATCTCGGAGAACATCGTAATGTTCCGGATCACCCTCTTGCAGCAGGGCCTTCAGGGCTTTGGCTGACTCCTTGGAGCTGGTGAGGAAGCCCGTCTTGTCTGTGTTTAAAACCAGGCCAACTTGCTCCATTTGCCACTTGAGAGTACGGAAAGCTCCAAGGGCCTCTCTGGCCGCGAAGTCAGCATCCCGGCTGTGGATGTCGAAACTGACATCATCAACCCATGTCTGCAAAGATGCTGCAGGGTGTGCTTTAACCAGCGCTTCCAGTGGTCGATAGAGGATGAGCTTGGAGATGGCTGGGGCTTGAGGACATCCTTGAAGAATGCCATTGTCATAGTGCCTGCTGTTACCATTGATCCCTTCCGCTTGCAGAGTCCGGGGACCCGTGTACAAGTCCAAGGCAAACTTGAGATGCAGCGGGGGATAGGCCAAATCCCTGGCAGGGTCAATGATCTGATCCAGGTCAACGTGATCATAGAAGCAAGTGAGATCAGCGAGGCAGGTGACCGTGTGAATACCTTGATGTCGAGCAATTTCAGCATGAAGCATTCTGCCAATCGCAATGCTCAAACAATCTCTGCCTGGGCGAGCTTGATCCCATGGGAGCTTTTCATCCAGAGAGTATTGCCATCGTTGCAGGTCGGCTTTCCTGTAAGAACACCAAACCCGGTAGATGCAGCTGGTCAGGGCAATGGGCCTCTCCACTTTGCAGTTCTTGGGAATGAGCACGATGTTGGTGGCTCGAAGCTGGACAGCCAGCTCACCCTCCCTTTCCATGGTGGTCAGGAGGTCTGCCAGTTTCTCCACAGCAGGAAAAGGCAAACGCCGTAGAAAATCATAGGAGATGCCATCCGGACCCGCGGCCTTGTTGGGAAGTCTTCTCAAAAGCTGCTGCAGCTGATACGATTGAAAGGGAGGGAGTTGTTGTGCTTGATCGATTGCAGCCTGGCGAAGAAGGTCCCAGGAACGCAGCGGACGAGGGTCGTCCCGAGGCTGCCAAATGGCTCCCCATTGAGCCTCTCGAGCTTGTAGTCTTTCACCGGCAGGGAGGTGCTGGAAAGGTCTTTGCCAAGGGATGTCTCGCTGGCGGAGGCTGCGAAAGAGACCTCGTAAGCCCTTCTCATGGGCTTTCTCAAGCCAGAGACGGTATTCATCGTTGGTGCTGCTGAAAAGCTTCTGTTGGGCTAGTTGCTCTTCTTCCGCAATGATCCGACGAAGCTCGGTGGGCTCATTCGTAGGGTGCTCAATCCAATGTCCAAGCAAAGCCTTGAAGAGATCTTGACTCATGTGCTCCGAGGCATGAGCCTGCAAACCATCCATCATGTTGAGGAGGTCATTGGCAACCCGTCCATGTTGGGTCTGATGTACTACATTGATGCGGACCTTCATCTTTTCCCAGAAGGCAAGATGGCCTTTTCTCCACGTCAGAGAACGGCCTTGATCCACCAGCGGAGCTTTGTACAGGTGAATCCTGCTACCTCTCCCCGTGGTGGGGTTGTGAAGGAGCTGGGTGAGGTACTTCTCGGTTTGTGTGGCCCATCTGGCCAAGTCGGAACCCAACCCCGTGATGGGTTGGCCCATAATGTGAAAGGGCCCATCATCTTCCCAGAAGGAGGTCCATGTCGCCGGCAGCTGCATGGTGCGTCCAATGGGAGGGAAACGTTGAAGCTGTTGAACTTGGATCTCCGCTTGGTCACAATGCAGATCCACCATGAGACCACAGTGAGGCTTCCATGGGACGTCCCAATCCACTTGAAGGGAGACACAACTAACCAAAGCTTGGGAGACCAGCAACTAGTCAATCATGGAGCCTTGAAGGGTGGTGGAGCCTGCTGGGCTAATGATCTGAGCTTTGAACCGACTTTGTATGACGGTGGCCGCTAATGCCTCCGGCTCATTTTGCCAGTCGCCACCCACAATGAAAGGTGCCTGAGTCTGCTCAAGGAATGCCAGAAGGTTGCCCAGGATGGACGCATTGAGGGGTGACTGCAGAGTTTCGCCCGTGCGCAAGTAGAGCTGGATGAGGAAGAAAGTGGTGCCCTGTCGTTGAAGGCCCAAAGCCATCCAGCCATTGCCTTCTTGGACATAAGAGTGGGCCACATGGGTGAGGTGTCGAGTGCCATGGAGGACAAGGAAGCCTCCTGTGTTGCCTCCTCTGCCCGTGGGTTCCGCCGGAAGGCCATGGCTTTTCCAGCCTCGAGTGTTGAAGTATTGTTGGGCTTCTTCCATCTTCTTCTGCCCAAGATGCGTTTCTTGGAAAGGGAGGATGTGTTCTCCTTTGGTCCAAACCCAATCTTGCACCCTGCGTCCAAAGGAAGTCACATTGGCGAACACAAAGTGCAAGGTCTCAGAGTGGTGTCTGGCTCTCTTTGGCTGACTCGGTTCCAAAGCTTCAACAGTGTCCGGAACCAGTTCTCCACTGCATTCATGAACCAACCATACTTGCACAATTTCTTGTCGATGGGTGTCCAGCAAGTGAGGGAGAGGAACCGGAAAAGTGCCATCATCCGCATACCAGTAAGCGTTGTCCATGGCATGTATGGCCACATAATGCCCATTTTGGTGTCCTGTGCCTTTGTGCAGAATCATGCTGACGATCTTGTAGGTAGCCATATGCACATTGATGCCATCCTCAGAGAAGGGAATGGTGATGGTCGTGGAAATGTCCAATGGACGATTGTGTTTGGTCCATTGGCCCTCAGCAAGTATGGATCGTTGGATGTGGATGATGAGGCCCCCTGGAGTGCCGTACAAATATTGTCCCCCTTCTTCTTCTGCCCAAAGGTTGACGATGTCATCCAAGGAGATCGGAGAGTCACCGCCAGGACAGATCATGTTCAAGGGAATTTGCTCACGCTCATCCAAACGTCCATCCGTGGTGACATGATAGAACTTGCCTCCAAAGAAGGTGCCATTTGCCAAGCTTGCCAAATGACCCACAAAGTCCCCAACATCAGCTTGTTGGCCCTCTTGAAAGTGGTGCCAAATGGGCTCCAAGTGGGTCAAATCCCGGAGGGAAATGGGTTCATTTTCCTCCAGAAAGGAGCGTACAGCCTGGTGTGTGCGGCCCCAGGCCATGGAGGGACCTTCAGCATGTGCTCCTGCCCAACTCCAACACCGGAAAGCTGAGTTCCCAAAGCAGAGATTCTGGGAGTTGAGGAGCCGACTGGTCAAAGCCTGCCCAATCACATAAACGTTGATGGGCAAATGTGGAAGGTCCCCTTGAAGTGCAAGGAGCTTGTGGAGGACGGTTTCCATGCGTTTGAGATCGACGAGAAACTGTTGACCTTGTGCACGCTTCCACCCAGCCTCAAAAGCTCGGCAAGATGTCCACAGGTCATGCTTGCATAGATCGTATAAGGCCTGCTGGCCTGGTGTCAAAACTTCCTCATGCATTGGATGGTCATCATCATCCATGATGCTGAGCAAGAGCCTGGCCAGTCTATCTCGTGGGGTCCCGTGATTGGCAGTACCCGTGAAGGTCCGCCCTGAGGTAGTGGAACTCGGTGCCCCTGGATTAGACTGATGGCTCTCGGCGGAGATGGTAGAGTGGAAATCACCTCCTCTCAATTTGAAAAAGGTAGGCTGCGAACGCCAGGGTCCATAGGTCCCGCGGCTACCCTGGTCCTCGTTCGAGCCTGGAACTGCGAAAGGATCAAAGGAGTTGACTGTCCCCTTGCAACTCAATTGAGAATCCCCGTGCGGCTGATGTGATTCAGCAACCCCTAGAAGGCTCACATCCAAGGTGTGAGCATTGACTGCACTCTCCTGAAGGTTACCCACACGACTGGGTCTCAGCTGTTTTGCGACGCTTGTTCTCCTCCTCCGTAGGGTCCGTTGGAGGTCGCTTCAACATCAAACTGAGCTGAGCCTTTTGATCAGCTGTGAGATTGACACCTAAGGTGGTGATAAAACCAGCTACCGCGTCTGGAACGGTGTCTTCCATGGGCTGACCATCCTGGAGTGCTTCGGCAGGCTTCTGTGTGTTGACCAAGGCCATATAGGCAGCACTCGTCGTGTTCAGGGCGGACTGCTCAGCCTCAAGCTTGGATTGAAGGGATTTCATGTCCTCCAGCATGTCCGAGTATGTCTTCTTCGTGGAGTCAATCTTGGCCTGGAGGACCTGTTTCCGATGGGACAGGTCTCTCAAAGCGGAGACTTGGGACTTCAACTTCAAGGCCATGTCCTTTTCTGTCTCTGGCGGCGGACGCGTGATGCGTTCCACCAACTCCTTGACAGCAGTGGGCAACTGAGCCATGTTCTCCTTGAGGACGTCAGTCAGCTCAGGTTCCTTCTCTTGGGTGGGAGGTTTGATACCGAGCTGTTCCAACTGAGCTTGAAGCTTGGAATCCAGGGGGCTCCATGATGTTGTGAGCAGGTCCGTGGTAGCTTTGTGAACTTGGCCTATTTTGGAGCCGCGATGTCCTCCTAACCCCGGCGGAGGTGTCACTGGCTTCTGGCGAGGAGCGAACCTTCCTTGAGATCGGGTAGGTGATCTTCGGGAGGAAGGGTGACTGCTGTATCCTTGAGGAGGTCGTGACCAGGCCAAGCCACATTGTCGACAGACATAACCTTCACAAATCTTGTCTTCCCAAATCCTGTTAGGGCATGCAGGTCCTTGGCAGCACTGGTACGACCTTCTCCATGAGGAGGATCTTGAGGACCACTCCATGCGCTGCCGCAGAGGCCACCCTCCTCAGGTTCCGGGATGTTCAGCTCGAGGTCGCGTGGTGCGAGGATCAACAGGGAGGAAAAACCTGCGCCTCGAGCCGAAAACTTGAGCCGCCTGTGCATATACTGTGTATATAATTGTATATATATATATACACACTACATAAACACACGCAAGTACAAAGAGATGTGGACGCAGGACACAAACAAACAGAGCAGACGGGCACTAGACAGCTTTGTCATCTGGTGAAAACACCTTGCCAAGTGCGGCAGGATGGCCCGGAAGGGCATCCAGTCTTTGGTGAACGGTGGGGTCTTTTCGTGTTAGGCTCTTGAATGCCAAGATGCACCGGGCTGGAGCTTGCCTGATGGAAAGATCAATATAGGCCGAGCAAGTTCTATACGTTTTGCAAATTCTTCTGGAAATCTCTCCGGGTGAACAAAGAACACGAGTCAAAGGTTGAGTCAAAGCTTTGTCACATAAATATGCAACATCTCAGTGGATCTAATTGAATCAAGAGCTCAATAATATGGTATGCATCAAAACCAGATTCTACTCAAAGCCACAACACGGAGTTGCTGAGCAACGCACAAACTTGCAAAGACATAGGAACACGTCGAAGTCCTGACACCTTTCTTGAGGTGTCCAGAAAGAAACAGAACAATATCTATAGAAACTCTTGTCCCCAACCTCTTCAGTTTGAAGATTGATGAACCTTCAGTTCTTTAGGACCATGGCAGTGGCAGGAATCTGAAGTTCGCCAATCTCTCTCAGGCAAATCATACAATTGGGTTGGAGGAGGCCATCGCATGCCATCGCTATTAATTAGGTCGGAGGCCATCGCTTCTAGGTTGGAGGCCATTGCAATTAGGTTCCCATTGCTATTGAGTTCCCATTAATATGTCAGGATTGCCCAGCGGCCCTAGTGGCCGCGTTGCTGTAGCATCGTCCGCTCTCCAGCCAACACAGTCTCCCGTTTTCCGGCGCACTCGGATGCCTTCTGAAGTGCCGTAGGCAGCCATGTCCTCGCTGAAATGAATGCATTTGCAAGAAAAATTCTGCAGCACATGGAGCAATAACAATTCGAATCACATTAAGTCACTGTATATATGCAAACACAAAACCACAAGGTCATCAGCATCTCAGTCTTTTTCAACACAGGGGTGACGGAGCATGGCTAAGCTTGCCTGAAGCCATTCGCGACGGTACACAACCCAGGATACTGCTACTAGTACAAAGTGCTTTAAGAACTTGTCACGCAGCTTCCGTGAACTGTTGCTTCCGCGTGTTCGTCACAAACTAAGGCTGCACTGGTGTCCTGAGTGAGGCGGGCACCCCGAGGTGCCAAACCCACCGAGCCATTGCATGGCAAACGGCCTGACAAGAATCTGAAACGAAATCATGCCATTTGGACATGCTTTAGTAAAGCCAAGAAAAGTGTGACGCTTCTCCAGTGTAATGCAGCAAGTTTGCCAAACTCCTCATGCCTTGGCACTACGAAACTTAAAAATCAAGAATGATCAAGAAACGTGGACAGTACATCTGGCCTGGCCCAGATGGAAGCAGTCTCACCTTAGGCAAAGAATGCATCCACTGCATCCACATCTCACATCCCCCTCTTGTGGCATCTTGTGGCCATGTATCTTGCAGTTCTTTATTTCTTTCTGACCTCACAAGGATTCAATTGCTGCATTTATCAACAATGCCCCCATTGGCGCACACGCCATCTGCAGATCCATGTTTCAAACATTGCTTGCAGAAAAGAGTATTTTTCTATAACATGTATGATTTGAACCAAGCCCTATGCTTTAGACAGATTGGATAGTTATTAAATCTCTCCGGCACTTTACATTCAAAAGGTAAGGCAACTTCAGCGGACACTACAATGACATTGCGCAGCTCAGCTATTCGTGAGGGCTCCAAATGCATTTGTATTGAGCATGTTCTCCGACTACTAGGAGCAAAGGGCATCGCTACTAGGAGCAAGGATGCTACTAGGGGCTCCTGGCCTTACTACTAGTAACAAGAGGGCGCTACTAGGAACAAACCGAATTAAACTTGAACTCTATCAACAAACTAAGTTCACTCACGCTTCGAAGCAGTGGTATTTCCACATTTGATTGAACAGGCTGGGTGATGAACCAGGAAACGGTCACCTTGACTGACCGGCCTCGCGCTGAAGGAACCCCATCAAAAAAGGCGGCTGAGCTATGCACTCTTCAACCACCTTAGAACCTTCTAAGCCTTGTGGGGCTTCCACTGCGGAATGCAATGTGCTTGCAAAAGAAACTAGAGTATGCTAATAGCCCAAGCAAGCTAAGTCATACGAGAAATAATCAAACGCTTGAACAACAGGATCATTGATTGGCTCTAGATACCTGCACTCCACCCGTCAGCGACTGCAGTCATGTTCCAGCCTTAACTTCAGCACAAAATTGGATCCATTAAAACTGAAAACCTCCGTCTGTGGCCAAACCACCCCATGCGCTCGCCTTTAGAAATGGACGTCACTATAGACGTCATATCTTACTGCTAGAAACAAGAACAGTATCAGTATTACAAATTACAAGTATCTCAGTAGTTACTATAAAGCCACTCCATGCACAATCAAACAGCAAAGGGGGTTGCTCGGGCGTCCTGTCAGCTTGTGCCCATCCAACGGAAGATGTTGGTGCCTTGGGAGGGTGGCCAAATTTGGAAAGCAAACGATGTGGTCTCCATGCTTTGTTCATACACTCAAAATCAGCCAAAGAACAAAACATAACAAACATCTGGGCATGGGAGGTGCGCCCTAACTTGCCTATATTTCCCTGTCCGCATTCCATGTCTGGGTCGGTGTTTGTTTCAACTTGCCTGAGCAATGAAGTTGCCATCGCGCAGCTGCATTGGCTGAGCATCTGAAAGACCTGCGAAAAGGAAGCACCGATGTGACGGCTTCAAGCGGCTTTCACAGCACTTTCCAGAGTAATTCAGTGAGAAAGTGCTTGAATTACTGAATTGAGGCGCTTTCACTGAAAACGAAAAGAAATTGTGCCTTGTCCAGTCCAAAGTGCAGAAGCATCGGCATTCATGCCTGGCCCGAGCATCACAAAGGTGCTTCGTCTCAGATTCAAGAAAGGCCTACAGTCTACCAGGAAAGAAAAGAAACAACACAAAAAAGTACATGTTCAAAAGATCTAGTGTCACACTGCACCTGTCTAAATTCTAAATTCTAGATAAATTGCATCCCAGTTTTCGTGACAGCCCCCTTGCTCATCGGCCATGGATTCCTGATTTAACAGCGACACAGTTCCTTACAAACTTGGTATGATTGCTGGCATCGTGTGTGTGTGTGTGTTTCCTGCGTTTATGAAGTACTTTTGCCGTTAGCTGGACTTGTTTTATATCAAAGCCACCACTGATATGCCAAAGCACCTGATGGTTCAGGCAGTGCAGTGACAATATCCTTGGCATCGAAGCATCGGGTTTCAACATCACGGAACCGCCCAGAAAACCCAAACCTGAACCCCCAAACTATCCCAAAAGCGATGTGTAGGTGCTGTGTAGTGTGTTTTTTGAAAAAGAATGCAAAAAAGGTGCTTGAATCCTCGCCCCTCCAGGCCCGAGCAGCAAAGCGATCTTGACCATAGGTCTTCTGCCGGCCCGGCCGCATACCTGAATGTGTCTTGCCATTTGAATTCTACCACAACACTTTGTACGCCTCATTTTGTCTAGGTTTGAAGAGATTCAGAGTTCCCAGACTGAGGGCAAACTCGGAGCCATCCTCCGCACGAAGCAGCAAATCGACTGCCTCGGCCACAATGAAACACTACGCCAAAGGAGTGGGCCAATGGCTGGAAAGCAAACCGAAACGTTCTCTTGAAACTATATACTGAAATGTACTGAACTGTTGACAAAGCCCACTGCAATCTACGTGAAACCTGGACGAAACCTGACTTTCGAGTTTTCGGATGAAGCTGCAATTCATGCAGCCACAATTCATGCAGAGTGTTTGTCTGGTCTTGGCCCAACAGAATCGTGCACGGTAGCTTCCTCCACGCCCTTCCGCCTGTGCCTTTTGCAGGCCAAACTCTTGAGCTGTATCTCTACGAAGCTGGTCGTAGCTCTCGAAAATCGCGGAAGGAAGGCCAAGGCCTTCATACGAAGTGTGTCCCAATCGAAACACTTCAGACCTGTTTGCATAAATTAGCATTTGCACAATAGAATCGGAGAGATGGGGAGCGTTTCAATGTAACTTACAACCAGAACCAGAAAGGTCACACATCATAGACATATATATATGTGTATATCAGGATTCCCTAGACACTCTTTCAAAACCCAAAACTAGGAAAACTTTGGAAAACTTAGAAACACAGCAAGGGCCTCCAAAGTGTTTGTAGGCATTCTCCATTCTAAAGTGGGGAATGATTTTAGGTCTTCATGTTGAGACCAAGATGTTCACCAGCCACGCAACGGTTGTATAAACCAAGCGTTCATGATCAACACACAAACTTCGAAGACTCCTACCAGACTTCAAAAGCCCTTCCAATGATGGATTTGACTTGGCCCGTTCCCACCTGTTGTGCCAGTGTCCAAGACTGCAACCAAAGGCGTTGGCAGGTCAACAGGCTGTCCGGCCACTCGCAAAGCTGTTGCCTGAGGACATGATACCGTGAAGTCAATTCTTGCAAAGTGAACCAAAATCCATCCATTTTTGACGTTTTCTTGGCTGTCAATGTTTCCTTATCTTTCCATATGTTTCCTTCAACTTTGCCTCAAGCCTCTATCAATGTCCTCAGTCCCCTCTTCTTTCTCGATCGAAGCTCCATCTCGTTGGCCTCCATTGCATAGTACCGAATTGGGGCTCCATTGCGCCTGAGATCTACCAGCCGCACCTGGGAAGCTGACTCTTGTCGATCCTATCGAATCCTGTCGGCTCACTGCACTCGGAAAGTGCTTTTTGTTATTTCGCTCCGGAAGGGTGGGCCACTAAGACGTTGTAGCTTGAACACACAACTTCACAGCCGTTGAACGTGAACACTACCTCCCACCCAGCCATGTGTGCCTTTCAAAGTTGCCAGAAAGTTGCCTACTCTTGGGAGGCAAGCCCACTCCCAGGTTCGCGCCTGAGACTGTCCGAAAGATTCTCGACCAGAGGCCAGAGGTGTGGTGTCCTGGCACCTGCAAGTCTCATACTGTGGCCTGTAGGAGTTTGGCTCGTCCACGAGCAGTTCGGTCTTGACCTTTCCGGGATTTGTATGGGCGTTGCAAATGGAATTGGCGAGGCGTTCCTGTCCTCTGTGTCAGATTTGTTCCAGTCTGGCGCGCACGTCAGCTTGATAAAGGATTGGCCAACAAGCTCGACCGTATACGTCTGAGAACCGGCCCAACAGCTTTTCGTTTCCTGGATGGGGGTATATTGTCGATCCTGTTCTGAACACCATGAAACATTTTCTCCAAGCCACAACATGAGCCCGTACATCTCCACTGGCACAATGTCACCACTGCGAAGGCCTTTCATCTTCTTCTGGAGCCTGTGTTGATAGGGCCCCACATTGGCAAAGTCATTGTAGGGAGCTCCTCCTCATCTTCCGATTGATGGGAAGCCGCCTTGTGCCATTTTGATCTTGCAGCCAACTGCTGCTGCCAGCACCCAAATCAACACTGTGACAGCCAGCAAGGTAAGCAAAGAACAGGGCACGACCGAAGGTGATGCCGCGAGGGCAAGGGCCGACATACCAAAATGAAAGACCAAAACTGGTCTCCTTTTTGCTCAAGGTGCAGAGCTAAATCAACCCCATCCACCAAGCTCACCAAACGCCAGTTGTAACAACCACACTGCGTGTTTATACCAACAAGCAAGTAGTAGCAGTAGGTAATACTGCTGAGCTTAAGTAGCTACTTATGCACGTGGACGCACTCTTCTCAGGCTTGACTGATTTGGTAAATACATTTCTGGGGAATCTTATATAACTACCGTGTATACTGATTCTCAGCTTTGCACTGCTGGCGATGTACCTGGCAATCTCTCTCTCTCTCTCTCGAATCCTGTGGGTTTCCAAGCGTTCAGCATGGCATATCTCCACACATCGTCGTAATTGTTTTGTCGTTCAATACACAAACAGACTATGCCAAACATAGACTATGCGAATAATGTCCATATACCGTGTTGAAGTTGAAGCTCCAACCACAATAACTAGTACAAACGGCCTCAAGCTATTTGCACACACACACACAGCTGTACAACATATTCTGTCATGCCTGCAGCAGGTGCACCGCCTGAAAGAAGCAGTCGCTCCTGCGGATCAAGAAGCAGCAAGGAGTATATAGCTACTGCTGAGTCTAAGAGTCTTGTAAACTTGAGCCAAAACCATAAAATCCCCTGCAGGTTCTTTCGACGTGCCCACAATGGGAAGTACAAAAGCCGTGATCGGGTTGCTGAAACGTCAAAAACATCCTATTGAAGTGAGTCAGTCATACTTTGCTGCAATGGTGTTGAGCCCAACGGTTCAGTGAGGTGCACAACAAGCGATTGTGAAGAGTAGATTCCTTCATCGGTCCTGTCCAGGAGACCGCAGGTCAACAGTGACAGTCCTTTCGCAGAATGCAGACCGACCCTCAGACTGACATGGACATCAATTTGTCCAAGCTTACGAATCTCAAACAAAAAATCTTGAGGTAGAGCGGTAGAGCCACATCGGAGTGCGACAATGATATATATAATATATATATATATATATGTCCCGTTTCAAACTGATCTGATGATCAGGATCCGCTGGTGCTTGTTTTGACCACATTCGTTTACACACGATTGAAGTTTGAACCTTCAGGTTCATGGAAACTCCTCACAGAGGTTTGGCCAAGAAGTGTGGGTCGGATCCTGCCACGGACGGACAGGCCGCGAGCATTCTTTGAACTCTGCCAGCATCAAAGGTAAAGGAGGCATAGCAGCACGGCATTGATTTCAAGTTACTGCAAAGAAGTTTGCAAACCCAAAAGAAGGAGTGGAAGTTTGAAGATCTTTTGAGACAGAATAAAGAATACCAGGTGATCTCTAGCAAAGCTGTGTAGCGATCCTGGGGGATTTGTCCCGCACCAGGCCCAAGAAAGCGCCACCTCCGTTGCCACCGTACGACTCCACCTCAAGACAGAAAAGTGGAAAATCAAGCTAGTAGCTTCTTGTTCCTAGTAGCGATGCCAGGAGCGCCTAGTAGCGTCCTTGCTCCTAGTAGTACGGCCAGGAGCCCCTAGTAGCTTCTTGTTCATAGTGGCGAACTTGACGTTTGAACGAGCCACAAGCGCATTCTCAAAAGAGCACGCCCTCTGGACCTTGCTTCTCTCTCATGTACTAGCGTCACTTGTGGTATCTGTTTTGATCAGTGTAGCAACTGATAATATATATCCAGAAGCTACTAGGGGTTCCTGGCCCTACTACTAGGAGCAAGGACGCTACTAGGGGCTCCTGGCATCGCACTAGGAGCAATCTTGCTTCTAGTAACAAGAAGATACCAGGAACAAAGGGCATCGCTACTAGGAGCAAGAAGCCACTAGGGGCTCCTGGCCTAACTAACTACTAGTAACATGTCTTCAACTCGATATTTGCTTGGCTCGTGGGGATGCAGGGCAACCGATGGTCTTTCCTTGTGGTTGTGCTGTCTGGTCGCAGGAACGTGTCCTGTTTTATGAATGAATTTTTGTTCTCTGTACAATATTGCCAGAACCATTGCCTCTAAAGCTTCAGGGCTATCACAGTTTCTCAAACTTCCGGAATGTCGAACATAGCGCAGTGCTTGATGCTGGGCCGGAGCAATGGGCCGCTTGCAGCATTTTTGCTGGAGTTCTCTGGGCATTTGTTCATAAGTTTGCAGGTAGCTGTGGATGATGCAGGAGATGTTACAGTATATAGCTTTGTGGTGCCAATTCTTGCAGTTGTCACACAGAATTTGAATTTGACAGGAATCTCTTCAGGTTGTTCCCACGCCAAACTTTCCAGCCAAGCAAGTTGCTAAAAGTTATTTCCTTCGCTAATTTCACCTCTGTCGCGCAGAGTCCGTATTCAATAGAGTAATACAGGAAGAGTCGTGGGTTTTAAGGAAAGAATGGGTGAGTAGCTGCCCATAAGCTTGCCGATGACATGACCAGCCCATTTGTTACATCTGGACCAACCTCCAAGCAAAGGGTGTCTTTGACCTGAAGGAAAAAAAGGTATGTTCTGGCCTGGCCGTTGGAGTGTACGATACCAACTTAAAGTGACGGGAAACCAACGCAATTGCCTAAAAATCACCAACTCCATGCCTGTCACAACAGGAACTGGGGAAAAATGGGAGAGAGTCATGCAACCAATTGTTGGCCTCCAGCATGGCACCGTAGGTGACAGACCTCAATGGAAACACCCACGCAGCATGTCTTTCACGTCTCGGCGTGAAGGTTTCTCAAAATCAAGACCTTCATGGACATGGAGGTCAGCGTTAGTGACCATGTCAGCAAAAGAAATTCCACGAATAGTGCACTTCCACACGCCAATCTTCCAATTCTCAAGCCACCATGGATGTTCAAGCAACACCAAGTCTCCAACCCAAAGTTGAGATTGCCCAGTGCCAAAGAACCCCTGACATGTTGCCATTGGCAGTTGCCAAGCTTTGATCAAAACGTGACAGCAACGAATTGATAGTCTTGACTTTTTCGGAAGCACGTTGACTCTTCTGCCGTTTGCTAACTACAGTGTGCTCATGAGGACATTTCACAAGAGTTGCACAAGAAGCATATTGTCAATAAATATATATATATACAAGAATCAGCTACGATTCAATGGCGGGCTGCCCGTTTTGCATGACTTTCTCCCACCGGGGCACACCTCTTCCAGCTTACGCGTGCCAGGCCAGCAGCAAACAACTGCCAAGAGAATGAGTTCTGCGAAACCCAAAAGGCTCACCTCTAGGCTGGAATTCAGCGGCCATAAAGCACGCACAACAAAAAGCTATCAGCCTCAAACATGTCATGCACGACTCAAAGAATCTCTGTCCTTTCTCCACACCTCATCAGTGTCCTTCAAACCTGATGGTTCTCCTGCTTTCCCGGAGGTACCTCAGAGACTCCGAGCGTCTCAAAGCATACAAGGCATACCTGGATCAACCCTTTGACGCTGTAACACCAGGCTGTTCACCTGGCCTTGTTTTGTGCAAATCTTATCAAAGGCCAAGGACATGGCAGCCCCAGGCCCTGCAATAGGAGGCACAGCTGTCACCCTCGCAAGTGCTTACCTCAACTTTTTGCAGTGTCAGAAGGGATTTAGGATAGCGAGGCTAGGAAATTAAACTTGTCGCTCAGTGCACATGCTTCAAGCCTGCAAACTCCTTGTAAAAACTCATGCATCAGCTTACATATTTATGCACAGGAATGCACAAAAGATCAAAAAAGAACCCTGTTTCAATGTTCTCTGTAGTATCATGGTTCCTGCTGGCATTTTCCCGGAGCATCATCTGCCACCTTGATCAGTTGATGTATGCTTGCCCGTGCAAGGCGTTGGGGAAGACCTGAATAATCTCCCTGGATCTTATCTTGTCAGCACAAAGGTTCGCCACGCAGCCAATTCCTTCCTGAAATTCCCTCAAATCTCCCAGGCACAAAGGAATCCCTGGAAAGATCCCGCGGGCTGTTTTCGTGGGAGAGGGCTAACCTTGCTGACCGATTCCTTGCCCCAGCTCCACACCTGCAATTGCAGGATATTGCAGGTCTGTGTACTTTGCACTAGACCTGGTAAGCCTGTAGATTGCGAGAAATTCCGCAAGCACCTTTGCAGAATATGATAGGATTGAGGTGACCCACACTTGGCCCTTCAGGTGGCCGAGACTCATTGCATCATCGTGGGCGAATCCCTAAATGGTCTAGGATCCTGGACTAGACCAAAGGATGGTGGCTAGATCATTATGGTCTAAAACCTACTCAGAATATGGCTGATAGCACTTCACCTCACCTCGACCAGTGTGTCATTGTTTGCAAAGAAATACAGAGTAGGAGAGACAGTAGACTTAGAGAAGGAGGGCTAGACTCCAGAATGTTTAGCGAATCATCATGGCTGGCAGTTGGATTGTCTCACCGGAGGAGCAAATGCAACGCATGTAAGGCATTTAGTTTCCGCAGAACATGAATGTGTATAAAAGCTGGTTCATTAATTTCTATCCCACCAATCTTCCCCCTCGAACCAACCTGTTGTTGAACTTCTCGCTCTGCTACTTCTGACAGCAAGGTGTCAGAGAAGGTGTCCAAACAATTGCCAAAGCAAGGCAAGGAGTCTTTTTTGCACTCCGTTCTCCTGATGCATGAGTGCAAACATTAGGCAAACTTTATCAAACATGCTTGGTTCTATATATACATGCGTACATACACTGCACTCCTTCTGCACTGCTGGTCAGCGTGGTCACAACTCAGAACATCGCATCCTCCTTTTGGGGCACCTTTAGCAGCTTCACTTCTGCTAAGGAACGATGCAACAAGCGTAGCTGTGTCAAAAAGCTATAAGTCTATAGTGCTTCCCCAGTCATGGTATGGCTGGCAATCGGATCGGTTTTAGCAAAAAATTGCATATATATATATATATTTTTTTTTCTTTTCTTTTCTTTATATAAGGCATTTAGTAAACTTACTTGGCCAAAAATGCCAATACTGCGTAGTTGGATGTATCGACTCCCAGTCGCCTCAGCAGCTGGCCTTGGGCACCAAATTCGTTCAACAGAACCAATTCAAAAGAACAGGCCTCTAGTTCTCCACGTAGACTGAACATATTACAGAATCTCTTGGTTTCTTCAGCACATCAAGAAAACAGAATACACATCCCGGTTTTACATCAAGGTTGCGGCCCAATCAATGCTAGCGTGGTTGTACTCTTACGTACAAAAACCAGTTGATATATTTCAGATAGGGGAGGGCTTAAGGGCCCCCCCCTGTGAAAGACCCTAGGAATACTTTAAAATTATTCTGACCCCCCTTGAGTTAGTTTTCAAAAATTATTCTGGTAACTGGTTGAGTTCCAGGAATATTTTTTAGCTTTCTCTATATCTTCATATAAAAAAACATATCAACACAGCGACTCACACAGCAAGAGCAATCTGACATAATCTGACTCATTCTGATGAACCGTTTTTATCATCAAATCGCCATATTGTGAAAGACTTCGACATGGCTGCAAAATGCTGCCAATCTAAAATCTAAATCTGAACATTGGTTTTCCTATGTTTTCCTTGGTTTTGTACATGGCCAGCGATTGCTAGCTTCTTGTATTCCTTATATATCCTTATATATATTTGTTGTTTCTTGATGTTTCTTGTTTGAGCCTCTCACTCGCGTCCAGCTGCTGACTTCAGATCATCAAACGTCGCAACTTGAGTATTCTTGAAAATTATTCCAGGGGGCCCTATGACTAGCCCTTTGATAAAATATTAATCCACCAAAATTATTTCAAAAAAATATTCCGCTATCCCACAGGTCCCCTGGAATAATTAAAAAAAGCCATCCCCTATTATTTCAGCCCACTATGCTGGTATGCTGCCAAAGAGCTGATTCTGCTTCCGACTTCTGTATGCACTGGGTCGGGTTTCGGGCTTGGTGGATGAGTAATCTCCTCTGTCAACAGTGCTCATTCCTTCTGTTTCTGCAGATGCAGGGGCAGCAGGTTGAGTCTGATTCTGCTTGCGACTCCG